CTGTCTGTACTGTCCCTAAAGTAGTACTACCAATACAATAGTAACAGCACTTAATCTATGATTGAGTCGGTTTTCTTTGTTATTCATACGTCTTTATTTAGCATAAATACCACTTGAATGATCAACTGTGTTAAAGCCCGGGGAGGGATTTGATATTCAGGCCAGGGAAAAGCGGGGATGATGAATTGAATTGGATTGTTCATTACGTATTCAAGTGCTTTATCTAGATAAAGCACACTTTAAGAGCACTTTATCTAGATAAAGCACTTGAATACGTAATGAACAAYCCAATAATTAATTCAATTCATCATCCTCACTTTTCCCTGGCCTGAATATCATATCACTACTCGRGCTTTTACTATAACTACAATTTACTCAAAATTCATTTTACAATTTCATTACATCAAATTATATCAAAAATTTCAACCTATACATTAAAGTCCTTTTTAACGAAAAATGAACAATTGTTGAAATGGACACACTTTCCAACTCTGTCTTTTGAACTGTTCATACCMTCACACGTAACCTCACTACTATCCTTCTGGAACTTACTGACTACCTGCCTTTCATCCTCTTCTAACGTGCATGCCCTTTTCAAAGACGGTTTACAATTAAATTGATCTAATGCTTTCGACATTTCTACTTTGGTTTCAACACTGGGTCGCTGATAGCTTTGCAAAGAACRAATATCTCTATGCCCGGTTCTTTCCATTATGTACTTATCTGGGATTCCTTTAGCCAGACCACGGGTTGCTGTTGTCGCTCTGAGGCTGTGATTTGTGTAATGCCCTTCTATTCCAGCATCTTTGCAGAGGTTTTTTACTGTCGCAGACAACGTATTGTAGCCCACAGGATTTGCGGTGAACCAAACTAAAAATGAAACAAAATTTTAAAAATGTCATTTAACTGAATAGTTCAGGTTTTTACACATGCTCAAATTAAACAAAGCATTGAAATGTCATATACCTTGATCTGAATCGCTATATTTCCGGCGTGGACTCAAGTAAAACGCATCCTTTGCAATTGCTTCTTTGCTGCACTTCTCCACATACTTCTTATATAGATGAACCAAGCACCGTTCTCGATTCTCTTCATTTGCGTAATGTTCGATACGTTTTTGCTTCACATTGCGGTGTTTTAACCCTCCCAAATTGTTCTTTTCTCCAAATGACACGTACACAAGCTTTTCTGGTTCCTTTTCATTTGCTGGCTCCAGTTTAAGTTGACTGAACTTTAAATTACGGTGTTCTTTTCCGCTTCTTAGTGCAAAGTTTCTTCCTATTAGGAATACCATAGTTTTGAGCAACACGCTTGGTGACTGGTCTCCAAGTAGATTTAATTTCCACAGTTGATCTTCCTGATCCTCTGTAAAGGATTGCGCTTGCTTCACGTTAGCACCGAGACCCAATCGTGTTAGGCGTTTCATTTCTGAATCTAGGCAATCCTGAAAATGTTTGAAGTTTGGGTCTTCAAAAATATTTAGGGCTGGCCAGCCATTATTTCGCAGATATCGCATTAGTCCACAACATAAATTATATAGTGAAGCTGGGGGATATAGCTCTCCTTTTTCACCTTTCTTGCGAACTTCCACAACAAACTTCGCCAACCAGTAGTTCAGTTCGGCAGCAGTAGTTTTCAGGATATCTGAGTTTACTAGTTTCTCATTGCTTGCTACTTCTTTCGCTTTCGTGTTCCTTTCTTCAGCCCAGTACGTCCACACACCAACTGCCCATGCTGTATTAATTTTGGTGTTCTCAGGAATTCGACTATCTTTTCTCTTCTCCAATTCCTCATCACTTACAAGGGATATAATACGGCTAGAGCTTGAGGTTGACTTTTTGGTCTCCGATATTTCGCACGGCTCAGTTAWCGTAGTTGTTGTGCAATCATTTGTAGCCTTATTTTGGTCACCGCTCTCTAAATTCTCACTTTCGAAAATGCTCTGAAGCAAGTCAAAATCGGGCATATAACTTTGCTGCGAAAATGTTTGCTGTGTCAAACCCACCAAGCTAAAACAATCATCTTCGTCGCTGTACAWGTCCATCATTCCTCGACTATAACTCGAGAACTGACTAACTTTTCTCTTACGAAACATTGCCGTTCAAATTAGAATAAACAAGCATGAAAAGTCAATGAAACATTCCTTGCTTTGAAATTTGTTATTTTTTCCTTTAATTGCGTTTCTTTTCTATTTTTCAAAATATGTTTAACAATGTATTCCCAAAAGCCCTTAGGCAAGTACAAGAAACAATGGTTTCWGACACGCCTTCCGTTTTTCGCAATCAATTTACAAAAATTATCATATACATATAACACCCATTACTTGTTCAACTGYCYTAGTGTTTGAAAACCTCCTCAATCATAGATTAAGACAGTTAAATACCTCGAATGTCGGCAATAAGCCAATAAAGCCCTCGGGCCTACGGCCCTCGGGCTTTATATGGCTTATTGCCTCCATTCTCGGTATTTAACTCTTACCTAACCAATGACATCCCATGTGTAGAAATGCCAACAACACCATGTTTTCATCGTTTTGAATATAGATTTTTTTAGAAAGCACAGTTGCCATATTCCAACACATCTTTCAATATGCATCCATTTTTTATTA